ATAGTGGATTTGGGGAATTCTCTAAGGATTTTCTCTATTTGTGATCTGAGTTTTATAATTAAAAGGATTTATTTTAAAAATAACCTATAGACTTCTGCTTTCAGAAAAACAGTGATGTAATTTCTGTACGAAATTTTAAAAATCCCTAGAAAGTATATAGAAAACAAACTACAAGAAGACTAAAACTTGTAGAGAAGAAAGCAGAGAAGTATAGACCTYAGCCCCCCTACCCCCCGCAAGTTCCCATGGCTTTCCTTTGCCTCCTGTATCTGAGACTTGGAGATAAAGCAGCCAGCAACCCAGAAATGCAAGTGGTCATAGATTTTAAAAGTCTAAACAAACGCCTGCTCTTTCTAGCCAAATAAAAGATCAATATGACATGACACAAACTTTAGGTAATAATTCTATTCCAGCAAGAAACACAGATAAAGAGCATGGCCATACCTTATATGTACCAGCAGAGCCTATAGGGAGACTCAGTTTTCACTATTACATAATGAGGTACCCGCACTTCTGCTGGGTGCTGCCAGAGAAAGTCAAGCAGCGAACAGGCCCTGCATCCCAGATGTTGGTAATGAACTCCCACCATGGTGTTGGTGAAGCAATGGGGAACCAGAATATCCACACCCTCACAGTGACTAACAGCTCCACCCACACACTGTCAATGGAAGGCAGGCCTTCACTCTCAACTCCCAGGAACACCGCAACATTCTCACCCTTTCCTGTGCTGGAACAGTCATAAAAAYCCAGTTAGGAAAAAAGAAAGATTTGAAAATGATCTAGAGACTTGGGACACAGCACAAAAAATGTCCAGGTTTTGATTGACATCATTCATCATATCAAGAACCAAGAAAATTTTAAATTGAATAGAAAACAGTCAATGAATGCCAACCAACACTGAGATGGTGGAGTGATTAGAATTATCTAACAAGATTTTACAGAACATATGATAAAAATGCTTCAATGTTTATGTGCATGCTTGGAACAAAACATAAAACACTTCAGTCAAGAAATTGAAGATAGGAACCAAGTGGAAATTTTAGATCTCAAAAATAAAGCAAATAAAAATTTCTATTCATGGCTTATCAGCATAATGAAGGAGATAGAGGAAAGAAGTGAAGGATTGAAATACAGAGAAATAGAAATGACCTAAACTGGGCCTACAGATGTAGCTCAGTGGTAAAATGAAGGTCTTAGCATGCACACAGCTATGGGTTCAATTCCCAGCCCCACTGGCCAGTGGAGATAAAGTATATTGTAGGAAAAAAAATAAAAAATTGTTTCAGGAACCTGTGAGTCTGAAACAAAAGATCTCATATTCATGATTAGAGTTTTAGAAGGAGAGGAAAAAGAAGGCAGAGGTTTTTGTTTTGTTTTTTTGTTGTTGTAGTTTTTTAAGTTTCTAAAAAAAAGTAATGGCTAAAAACTTTTCAAATATGGTAAGAATATAAATTTACAGATTCAAGAAGTTGCATAAGTCTCCGAAAGGTTAAACTAAAAGAGATGCATTATAATTACAGTATGAAAACTAAAGATAAGAAAAAAAATACTTGAAAGCAGTCAGAGAAAAAATGACACTCCATCTAGACAGAAAAGATAGTTTGAATGATAGTGAATCAGGAAACTTATAGACCAGGAAAAAGTGACAAAATATTTTTTTAAATGCTAAAGTAAAAGAATTGTCAACTTAAACCTTGCTTGAGTCCAAACATAAAATAAATCTAATAAAAAAATCTAATAAAGTTGCAATATGTTGTTTACAAAAAAAAAAAAAAGAATTGTCAACTAAAAATTCAGTACTCAGTAAAAAGCATCCCTCTGAAATGAAGGAGAAATAAAGATATTTTTAGGTGAAGGAAAAATAGAAGAATTTGTTGCCAGATTTGTTTCATATTATAGTTTTGTAACATCTTACCATTGAGGGACAGTAGGTAAAGAATGTATAGAATCTCCATCAAATTATAGTTTCATGTGAATTTATAGTTATCTCAAAAATATTCAATTTAAAAATTATATATTAGCTSTCTCTTTGGATTATCCATCAGATAGATATTCAGAATACCTCATTGATTAGATTGATGGAAACATAAGTCTTAAGTCTATTATAACAGTCCTTTTCCATTTAAAATGTTATAAACTTAAAAATATATATAAAAACATTTCAGACATACAACAATATACCACTCTCAATTTTTAGAGTTTTTTTTTTGGTAACCCTAAAGAAGTTCAAACATTGTGATCTCATGAAGTATGTGATATGCATTTAATTGAATATATTTTCTATCATATGACATCAAAATGTCTATTTTATTTTCAAGAAATCAACAATCAGGTGTTTAAAAATATGTAAAATATTTCTACAGAAATTGTACTGCATGAAAAATTTTCGAAGTAGTAAAATTATACATGAACAATAAGTGTATTACTTATAGAAAAATTCAGATCTCAATATTTGACAATATTAGTTCAACAGCAAACACTATGTTGTATAACAAAGACCTGCAGGAATTATATCCCACAGGTATGAACAGGATCCCAGTAAGGTCTTATGAGTTTGTCCTTTACTTCATTGATTGTATCACACTAATTCCAAATAACTCTTGGGGCAATTGCAAAGATGTGATTGACTTATATTGAAGAACTCAGATAATATTGGGATTTACATTATCAATACATACTCTATTTACAAGACAGCCTATAATGAAAATCATCAAGGGAGTATAATGTACACAAACATATATTCTCTCCTTGTTTCTTTGATTAATGGGAAAAGCCTACATCTATATAAAAGCACATCTAAAAAATAGAGGTCACTTGTCAAGAATTATATTATTTCAGGGTTTACTTGGTTGGCTTAGCAACTATGCCACCCTCAAGAGTATTTTGCTTTAGCAATACTTTCTGAGCCTTTATTCATCACCTTTCTTTTCTAGTAGCTCAAGAAGATTTCATGACTGATTATTCTGTTTGATGCATTCAAAATAAACCAAAAGCTAAAATTAAACTTGCAAAGAGAATAACCAGAGAAGCTGAAGTACAATGTTGCAGTTTGTTTCCTTAATAAAGCCTTGCTTCTCTCCCTAATTCTTCAACCTTACATATAAATTTCTTCAGACTTATAGTCTTCAAGATCACATGCCCCTTAGACTTTGTTTGATATAACTATTATTTCCAAAAAAAATATATACTAATACCAAGGCTTAAAGTGACTTATAATCAATTGAAAGAAAATGCTGGAGGACTTTCAGGTCTCCATTACACCAAACTTCTAATTTAAATGAGTCTGAAAAAATGCTACAAGTGAAAGGATGAAAGTGAAAGTACTTATGTTAATTTTGCTGCTTAGTATAGACTCTTCTGCCTATATGGGTCTTAAAAATAATTCATTTTTATGTGAAATGTGTATCATTTTGTCAAGGTTTTCTTCTTTATTCACAGAAAGTGAATAATTTATTTTTGTATTTTCTATCATTACCATGTCAAGTACTTTCACCATTAGAAAGCAATAAAATTAATCATTTTTGGCTTTGGCTGATGTTATGCTGTGCATAGCAATAATCCTTTTAACTTGAGTGAGCATGCTTGCTGTGCTCCATACTAAGCAAATTAGAGGTGCCCTGTCATTTATTTTCACTATAGTCCATGTGGGAAGTGAAGGGATAAGGGGATAAGCAGTTCTCGGAGGAAGAAGAAAAAGATAAAATCTGCAGAATATTTTTCAAAACAAAAACTGTCAGTAAGAGAAGTCAACATAATGGCCTTTAGGTAGCATGTGTGGTTGTGTGTTCTTGTGTGTGTAGAAACTTAAGGGGCGCATGACTTAAGGGACTTACAATTTGCCTTAGAGTTTAAACTATAAATAGACATAATCAGTACTTAAATTTAAAAATCGTAGCTTAAAATATTTTAATATTTTTATGAGTTTCTAGATGCAATCTCAGCAACTAGAATTAGAMAGTCCTCTCACATAAGGAGAATGACAAATGGCTAAGTCTGTTATTTAAGTCCTTCATTCTGCAAGCATGGGTTCTCCAAATTATCAGAGTGAAACAGGAATTAACTTTTATAAAAGGGAATATGTAACTAAGATACTTATTAATTAAATATTTTGCAGCAAAATTAACTATAGCTGTGGAGTGAAAGATGATATATAGATAGATGATAGATAGATAGACAAGCAGCTAATTCTCTTCTTCTGTWCATATGAATACCTTCCTCTCTTAGTAATTTTTAACCAGTTCTGTAGCCATACTATGGATATACCTTGACATAAACTTTCAAAAATACGTGTATACCAAAGATCCAAACTCTAGGCATCAAAAARATAGAAGCATGCACAAGCAACATGTACCCATGGTCAACTTATGAACAAACAATTATTACTTAGGGTCCTTARCAACTCTTAGATTTTGGTCACATATACAGATAATATATTCTGAAAAKTTCTGGAAAGCACTGTGTGAGTCAAAGCTGGAGTAGAAAAAGTAGCTCCCTATGAGYTTTAACTTCCTCATATCCGTGTGACACCTCTTAATACCTATGGACTGACAGGAACAGGAGTTTGCTCCATCAGAAGCCACTCAGTGGACTTATTTTTTTATATATATATTTATTGAAACTGCTTTGTCCCTCTTCCTGTGCTGGGTCCTCTAAAGCAGATTCTACTTTCTTAAACTCTAGCTTAGAGTTCACGTTAAGGATTACTTTATTGAGTAGGAGAGTTGCATTTATCATTATTAACTACATGGCTAATTGGTGGTAAAGCTGGTAATAGTTTGGACTTCTGGTCCAGTTTCTTTTGATTAAACTATACTGCTTCTTTTGTTACTCACTCCTCTTTTTATTTTCAGGATATAGTTGAGAAGCATTGGAATAATATTCTGGTGCTATATCTTTTAAGCATTTTCCTTTTYCATACATACAGACGAGTCATACTGTTGACTACAACAATTGCTTTTGGTTTAGTTCTTAGCATATATCTCTATTCTTTTTCCAAACAGCCTCAAAACCAGTGGATTCAAAATTATGCACTGGCCCAGTCCCTAACACGACACAGCTGTGCCACATTCCTTGTCCAATTGAATGTGAGGTTTCACCTTGGTCTGCTTGGGGACCTTGTACTTATGAAAATTGTRATGACCAGCAAGGCAAAAAAGGTATGTACTATTGACATGACATGTCACATCTTGGCTCATTTTTTAAAATACTGTTCTGTGTTCTTTTTGATTATTCGTTTGTTATACTTTCAAGAATGGCTAAGGAATACAGATTTCAAAGATGAGTAATCTAGTCTGGTGATGATACCAGAAGATGAAAACAGAAGAACATAGGCCAGATGCTTTATACTTGAGACAACATGATGGAAAACATCCGAAACAGTTTAGTTCAGAGTTTAAAATGAGCTGTGGTGTCAGACAGACCTGGGTTGGAAAACCTACTCTGTCATTTTTGGTTTAGATAAGTTAATGCATTTTTCTAAGTCTTTGTCTCCTTACCTGTAAAAGGCACGTAATAATATTTGACATATATATCTAATTAAAATAAATTAATTAATTTTTTTAAAAAATCTTGTATTTTAAAGACATATACTTATGAAATAGAGATACAATTGATATATAACAAGTTAGTAATAATTATCATAATTACATGAATGTTTTCATATTAATCAAGTTTAGATTTTAAAGGAATATTTGAAATCTGGAATGTATGGTGGTACTTTAAAATAACAGTTATTGTTGAACCAAAATTTTATAAACCTTAATTCCTTTAAATTGTTGTTTTAGAGAATAAAGCTTGGGCTGAGGTCRTAGCTCAGTGGTAGAGCACTTGCCTAGCATGTRTKAAGCCCAGGGTTCGATTCTAAGCACCACATATGAATAAAGATCCATTGACTTCTAAAAAGTAATATTTTAAAAAAACAAAACTTAAAAAAAATAGAATCAATGAGCAAAAACAGAAAAATTCAGAGCCTGGCCCATAGTAGTGCCCAGTAATCAGAGCTCCTTATTAATTTGAAGGTCAACATGTTTTTTTAAAAMGTCACTACTTTTTTAATGCAAATTATAATGTCTAAGAGATAGAATAAATTCAGTGGTTTACTTCATGATGTACCACATAATCTCATAATTGAAAACATTTTCCTGTTTTGTTTCAAAGGAAAGCCTTCTAATTATTCTAGTATGTTCCCATAGCAATAAACAGACTTGTTAATTGTGTTTTACATTGTCARGAAAAGCAGAACTTAGGTGTGATTGAAACCTTGAGCAGAATGTTAAATATTCCATATTGAAGCTAGAATGTTTTAGGTCCTAAATTCAAATTTCCAGAGTCTAAATTCAGTGGAGGCTCAAGAACAATTTCTCTGGAACCATCCAATTTCTCAGAGGTTCCTTTCCCAAATTCAATCATGTGATAAGTGCTRAAGGATGAAAAGTAATAGAATTTTCACTGGATCATGAATATTTCTGTATAGCCTGAGATTTCATTGGTTTTTTGAAAGCTGTTTAACTTTAGAATTTCCAAATCTATCTACCAAAATCTATCTCGTTTCTTTTTTTTTTTTTTCTCTCTCTCTCCCTTTCTCCTATCTCTCTCCCCACTGAGCCTTATGAGGGACAGAGGAACTATTTTATTTTTTTTTTTGCCTTATCTATTCTGTAGTAAGCTAAAAGCAAAACCCTTCTTTCCATTCTGTTCATTCGTTCATTCATTTCAAAAACAGTTTATGAGGTCACATTGGGGTACAATTTGGGGATACATGCTCTAATGATTCAAAACAGACATGACTTCTACCATCTACCCACATCCCACRTTCACATGGGGTTTCATTCAGCTTTCTGAAATACTGGACCCCTGATGTTCACAATAAATATTTTCTTTCCCCGATAATTCAGGCTTCAAACTGAGGAAGCGGCGCATTACCAATGAGCCCACTGGGGGATCTGGGGGCACTGGAAACTGCCCTCATTTGCTGGAAGCCATTCCCTGTGAAGAGCCATCCTGCTATGAGTGGAAAGCAGTGAGGCTTGGAGATTGTGAGCCAGATAACGGAAAGGAGTGTGGTCCAGGCACTCAGGTTCAAGAGGTTGTGTGCATCAACAGTGATGGTAAGCCAGAAGCATCTATCCCAATTTTCTGAATGTCTGTGTAACCTTGGACATATGCTTGACCTCATGTTAAAATTTTGGGTCTTCTCTCATTATAACTGGTTCTAATTACAAAGAGTGAGCTACCTCTGTCCCTTGGATGGATGGATGGATGGATAGATAGATGGTGCGATCGATCTCAAGGCAGCACTATAGAGATACCATCAATCATCACAGGGAATTCTAAAATTTGAACACAGAATGAATAAGAACTAAACCATCATCAGGGCAAATCGCCAAATTCCAAATAACAAGGAAAGGAAATCGTTAATATTGTTTTATTTACCAAAGAAAATTGAATGTAAATGGAGGAGGGTCATGAAAGTCAGTTAACTTGACTCTGAAAGTCTTTTTCCCCCACATTAGGTCTACATGAAGGAATTTTATTCCCCAACCACTAGGCCTTTCGCAGCAGTATTTCCAGTCAGCCCTCTCCTACTCTCTGGGAACCCTCTCTTCAAATGTCAGAACCAGTGGATAATGTTTTCTACAAGGTTCTTTYCCCTAGCCACAGTAATCACCTTAGACTATTACAACTACTCTTTGTGTGGTAAAATATTCTGTCTTGATGTCATCTGATGCACCCTTTAGATTGTTCTCAAGAGCACTATTATTGTTTGGGAGAGAAACTGTTATCCTCAGCAATCCCAAGTCACAGAGGAACCATAGGACTCCCTCAGACACAGTTTAATTCCTCTGAACAAGATCATGTCCAAGGGTCCTTCTAGCTYTCAAATCCTGTGACTCTGCACATGGGAGAAATGTGAGCACTGAACCCAAGGGTCTCATGGTTGACAGTTTATGCTGTTTATGGCATATGCAGAAGCATCCTGATGTCCCCCGGAGTGCTGGAACATCTGGTAACCTTCATAATTCCTTCGGTCCTATTTTCTTATAGCAAGCAGAATTGTTTCCTCTTGTGACTCAGTCACTGTTCAGTAGTAAAGAAAAATCCTCTCTGGGGTGGGAGACTGACAGCCACTGACATTACTGAGAAATTAGTCTTTTGACTTTGAAACACACAATGCCACCTATGTCCAGGGTCTTTGGTCACCATGCAGGAGAGAGCATGGGAAATTCTGAACGAATGAGTGCTTGATGATGAATTTTACACAATCTGCTTTGTTCTATGAAGGTGTAATTAGCCAGGATACATCCTCTCTTTAGCTATTCCCCATTCTATTCAAAAGAGAAAGAAAAGGAGAAAGTAACACTAAGAGATTGGCATACAGGAAAAGAAAGCAAAAGAAACAATTTTTGTCTCTACTCACACTTCAATTACTGCTTTAGAGTCATGTAGTGGAACTCTATATTATCTCCTGAATTGCTAAAAAAAAAAAAAATTAAGGGTCATATTTAACTTTAACAYTGTATTAATTTTTTTCTCAGTCGAAATAATTTTTTTCTCCTTCTGAAGATCTAGGAAGGAATTAAAAGTCCCAGCTACTGTAAAATGGTTTTTCTACGTGAAACGAAATGCTAAGACAAAAAAAAAAAGTGATTGTGTGTGGAACTTCTGCCTCAGTGTTATCCAACAAAAAAATCCAACCTAACTCAGTGCAACAATTTTCCTGGATATTTGTGGGAACAGCTTATATTTTATATAGACTAGAGGAGCCAGCTATGTGGCTAATTTTAATTTTTTCAAATAAAAATAATTTTGTAACACAGTCACTTCTTCAGTTATTGTGAAACACTAAAGAGTAAGCAGAGGTCTGAGTTTGTTTTGTCCAGTTGTACTAGAAAGGAATGTTTGTCATAACCTAAAAAGCCAGTTGGTAACTCTGAAGACAAAAGCCACTTTCACTTTGCCAGCCTCACAGACAGAATGAATTTTAAAATGTAAGAAGTATGCAAATGACATTCAATTTGTGATTATTGTCCTTTATCTCATCAGTCATTAAACTTTATCTGCTGACATTAGTGTAAATTTAATATTTTGGTGATTTTATACAGAGGTGTGTAAAATCAAGAGAATCTTTTTTTTTTTTTTTTTTTGGTTGGAATCCTGGAGCTACCTCAAATCTGTATATGATGGAGACACAATAGGGCTGATAGAATAAAAGCAAAAGCCAGAGACCTGTAAATACTACTCCAGTATTATCATGTGGTCACCCGGTAAGTGCTTAGCAGCTGCACCAAATGTTGTTTTGTAATTAAATTGGGCCCAGGGAATTAAAGTTGATTAGTAGTACAGACTCTACCCCCAGGCCTAGGCTGCAGCTATGGATTTTGTTTTATAATTAAGTTAAAGTTCGACTGGGGACATGGAGAATTGGAGCCTGTGAACCCAGAAAATAATGAAAAGACTTTTTTACCCTCCCACATTCCTCACAAATTTCACAACTTTGTTAATGACTTGAAAGCACTTAATGTCTCTATTTTCCTTCCCTGAACTATTCTTTGTCTAGGTTTCCAGAGATCATTAGGATTTGTTGCTGCTGTTCATTTTTCCCATGTTTTCTAAGTAGCAAGTTGAAGAACGTTGAGAGAAAAGTCAGGCAGAATCTTGTATAGGTTCTGACGGGAGTGGAACAGAATCCAACAAAAGAGCTCAGAAGACTCTTCAAAAGGAGATGAACATTTTACATGTACTAGAAAGTTAAAGATATTAGCATGGGAGTTTTGACCTGCTCTGTTTCCAATCTGGACCAATTCATCCCTCCTTAGGCAACCTGGGGGTCCCCACTCACTAGACCCACTGGCTGGAGGTCACCATATTGATGCCAACTTAGTAAAGATACCCCATAGACATAACATACTACATCTTAGAACTCTTGGGCCAAATTATATTGCCATATTGTGTGCATGTATAAATATGTAACAACAAATCTCATCAGTATGTACAACTATAATGTACCAACTAAAAAAATGTGGAAAAAAAAGAAATTAAAGATATCAAAAAAGCAATTCCAGCTCTCTAACACAGATGGAGAAACTATCCAAAAGTGGATGGGGGAGAATCCTAGAGGCTGTTACACCTTTAAAAGCACCCCAACTCTACCCTGTTTTAATTCTTGTGACATTTGTCTTTTTTATTTAAAGATGGAAATTTKGTGATCTGAGAGTATTTTGTTTCCTAAATTGGTTGGCTAGAGGCAGAACAAAAGCTATTAAGCTTGAAACAAGGGGAGGGAGAATGTATTGTCTTATTTATTACTTGAGTGTAAACTAAATATTGTTTCCTTTTTTTCCTCCCCTTTGTTGAAAAAAATAAATAAATCATGACATTCATACTTGCATACATTGGCTCCTTTTCAGATACCAGAGAATTGACACCATTYCCACTGAATTTCAAAAACTCCATTTTCTTATTCTACTTTCTGTATTATGTCGTAAAGTGATGAGCCACAGCAGTGGAAATGCCTGTGCTTCTGCACTACRTTTAGTTTTTCCATATTAATGAAAGTTATTATATAACCAATGACAGTGGCAGGTACAACTTACTCTCATACTTGATCCAGAATTTTGAAATCAAAAAAAATAATATTCTGCTGAAGTAAAGCAGTACAACCGTTCAGCCTTATGCAGATCTTAATGGCACTGAGTCATGGAAGGTCACCGGCCAGGGCTGTCATTGCTTACTGTGCCATGGGTGAATAGGAACATCTCCATTACTGAAAAGTCTCAGCACCACAGCAAACAGGCTGSATTCTCTTGACACAGAAAACCTGTGATTGAGAGATGTTGAAATTATCCTGAGATAAGCCTTTAAAGCAAGAACTTCCCTTCTGCTGGGGACTTTTTCTACCTATCATTAAAGTACTTGAAGAACTGACTGAAAATACTTGGGGAAAGAGACTTTAGCATTCACGGCACTGGCTTATCATGTGACTATTGAAACTTTCCTCCTTCTGGATTGGGGTGTGAATTCATATCTGAGTAGAGAGAAGGGAAGATGAATACTGTTCCTGGCCTGAGTAGTATTGATGTCATACTTCTTTAATCTCATGTGGATGGTATTAAGAGGGAATATAAACTCATATTTCAATATCTTGAGGTAAACACAGGAATAAACATTTTAAACATATTGAAAATTTGTACTTCTAGAAAACAGGACTTTAAGCCTTGAGAGTACAATTTGAGAGCTGGGGCTGTGGCTTAGTGGCAGGGCACATGCCAAGCATGTGTGAGGCACTGGGTTTGATTCTCAGTACCACATAGAAATAAATAAAATAAAGATCCATTAACAACTAAAAAAATATTTTTTAAAAAAGTGCACAATTTTATGCATTTTATAAACACTGAATTAATTTCTCTAAGTATGTATTCATTTGGATGAGAAAAGAAGTAGATAGGTCAAGGAGTAAGATGTGGAGCCAAGCACTGCAGATCTTTCCAGATTAGAAAGATCTGGAGCTCTGGAGGTTAATTTTTTGACAGACTCAGAACCCTCATATATTCTCTCAAAATATAAGATGATTGAATATTAAGATGCCTACTATTTATTGAAGATTCATTCTCAGAAAAAACCAGAAAGAAGGGAGAATAAAGTAGCTAAACAGAGAAGGAGGCATGTGTCTCTGGTACCCAAAACCAYCCCCAGGATGATTCACTAGGAGGACTTAAAAGACACTGCATGTACTTGTACCCACAATATGATTTCTTCTGATCAGCAAAAGCAAAATGTACATGGGGCAAAGTTCAAAAGAAATCATGCATGAGCTTCTAGGGGCTCCCAGTGGAGTACACAGGATGTACTTAATTTCTCCACCAATGAGTTGTGACAACACATGGGAAGTGCTGTCTACCAGTGAAGCTCACTTGAGCTAGAAGTCAAGGGCTTAGTGGAGGTCAGCCATGAAATCACTCTCTGTCTAGTACATACCAATATTCCAGAGTCCCTGAAGAAAAGTAGACATTCAACCTAAGCCACATTGTTTATATAAACACTCTAAGCACAGAAAACCACCCTTATCATGTAGAGAATGGTAGAGTCCTTCAGAAATTCAAGTACCCAG